AATATTACTTCAGGCTAACAGTCAATACCACACTCCTATCTTAGCTCTTCCCTTTCTCCTTTTCTTTATCCTAAATGCTGTCCCCTGTGTTTCTTTTCTTAGTTAATCTTTGAAAATATAAGCATATACTTTAATATGCTTTGTTTTCTCTTCCCTTGTAACCTACTTTAGCTCTGTACCTAAATTATGCGTTTCAGCCCACAAAATCTCTGTGATATTGCTGAGATTATATTTACCATCTCATCTAAAAATTCTTTTCGTTAATACTACTGTATACACATAAGAAGTAAAGCAGTATTTTAATTTTTTTCCCTTGTAAGTTTCTGAATTCTATCCCAAGCCTCCTCTTCCCATTGTGCTTCTCTTGGCGCACTCGCTGTCATTCATAGTATCTCATTTTACAGGCTGAGTTTTTTGCCTCAATTTCTGTTCCAGCCCTATTAATCCTGTTGTCAATTAATTAATCAAAGAGGTTCTAGAAGGTGTGTATCTTTTTCCAAATATTTGATATTTGTTACTATCAATCCTATTTTCTAATACCATCTGTGTAGCCAGTTTGTTCATTTTTCTTATCATCTTATCTTCTCAATAGTGCTGACTTTCCACTGAAATACAGAAAGAAAATACAATTTATGCTCCCAAGACTTTGTATATCCAGTCCAGGACCATAAAGCCACTAGAAATACAGGAGATTTCTTGTCTCACTCAGTTTACAACAAACCAAGAGCTATGGACCAGAGTTCACAGGTCCGATATGATTTGTCAAGCACTTGGTTAGAATACTGACAATATAGAAGCAAGCACAAGTAGTTTCAACATTTACGAATAACATCAGAACGATCACCATCTGAATATAAATGCAATAAAAATCAACAAATAGGATTAAAACTCTCCCACACACACATCCTAAAAGATGATGTAAAATTTTTATTTGATGAGACTAGGTGTTCATCTTGATGGAAATCTCCGTTAAGACTTCCATTCCTCATTAAGAAAAACATAACTAAATTGAGACACACACTTTTTTTTCCAATTACAGTTGATGTTCAATATTGTATTAATTTCAGGTGTACAGCATGGTAGTTACATTTATATAATTTATGAAGTGATTCCCCTGATAAATCTAGTACCCACTTGGCATCATTCAGTTATTATAACATTACTGACTATATTCCCTGTGACTGTTCCGTAACTATCAATTTGGACTTCTTACTTCCTTCACCTTTTTCACCCAGCCCCCAACTCTGCCTCCCATCTGGCAACCATCAGTTTGTTCTCTGTATCTATGAGTGTTTTTGTTTTGTTTGTTTGTTTATATTGTTCTTTAGATTCCATATAAATGTGAAATCACATGATGATTGTTTTTCTGAGTTGTTTCATTTAGCATAAGACCCTCTAGGTCCATCCATGTTGTCACAAATGATAAGATTTCATTTTTTATGGCAGAGTAATATTCCATTGTATATATGTACTATTTCTTTTTTATTCAGTCATCTATTGATGGACACTTAGGTTGCTTCCCTATCTTGACTATTTTAAATAATGCTGCAATGAACATAGGGATGCATACATCTTTTCGAATTAGTGTTTTAGATTTCTTCAGATAAATACCCAGAAGTGAAATTGCTGGATCATAAGATAGTTCTATTTTTAGTTTTTTAAGAAACCTTCACGCAGTTTTCCATAATGGCTGCACCAATTTGCAATTCCGCCCACAGTGCATAAGGGTTCCTTCTTCTCCACATCCTCACCAACACTTGTTTGTTGATTTATTGATGATAGCCATTCTGGCAGGTGCGAGGTGATATCTCATTGTGGTTTTAATTTGCATTTCTCTGACGATTAGTGACCTTGAGCATCTTTTCTTATGTCTATTGGCTATTTATATGTTGAGACATACTTTCATGTATTTAAAATGTCATCACAGAGTATCATGGCAGAGTGCATAGTAGACTCCTGTGTATCTACCCTTAAATCTACAACAAATCAGACATCTTTAACGCAACAAAGGTTCCTCTGCTCAGTACACTAGCCAGCCTTAGAGATGCACACCTTGGTACATCTGAAAGAGAGTGTACTGGAACTCACAGGGAGGCAGAATGAGGAGGGAGACAGGAATGGTGCCTGCAGATGCAGTTGTCTAGCCACCAAAGCATAGTGGTGGAGGAGTTGGGGTGTGGCCCCCAAACTATGATTCGGTGGGGGACGAGAGGGGTAGGAACAGTGTTGGCCGTGAGAACCCACTCCCTCCCCTGACTGCAGTGGAGCCTGGTAGCAGCAGTAGAGATGAGCCTGTGGCCTCCCAGCCACAGCCCAGTGGCACCAGTGGGAAAGAAAACCAGGCAATGACACACTAGGCTCACAAAACCAGCTCCCCCAACCCACCACATCCCCCCGCCACAGCAGTGGTGTCCCAAAGACCCAGATGGCCCACACACAACAGGAACGCTGACCCCCTCGTCACCCCAGCAGCAACTCCTATGACCACAGCAACACACCTTCTCACCCCAGGTGCAAGTAGCACAGGTAGGAGAAAACAAAAACTTGTACTGTGGCACCTTTTACGGAAAAACAAAACAAAGACCTCTAATTATCAACCTGCTAGATTGTTCAAATCAAAATGGTACCTTAATAAGAAAGGTACTCACTGTTTCAAAGGCGCCAGCAGAGGAACGAACCATCAAGTCCAGTGAACAGCCAAGGAAATGTGGTAACACAAAGGACAGTTCTCCAGAAACCAAACTCAAGGTCGTGAAAGGCAGTGATCTAAAGGACAGAGAATTCAAATTAGCAGTCATGAAAAAACTCAGTGACACACAAGAAAACTCAGAAAGGCAGCTCCATGCACTCAGGAATATAAGTAATGAATGGAAGGAGTACTTTTATTCAGTAGCTCAAAAATGGATTAAAGAGCTGAAAGTTAAACTTGAAAAAGTAAAACTCATAGAAGGAAACATAGGCACTAAGCTTCTGAACATTGGCCTCAGTGGTGTTTTTGTGAATTTGACTCTGAAGGCAAGGGAAACAAAAGGAAAAATAAACAAATGCAACTAATCAAACTAAAAGACTTCTGCGCAGCAAATCAAAAAGGCAACCAACTGAGTGGGAGAATATATTTGCAAATGACATTTTCAATAAGGGGTTAATATCCAAATACATATAAAAGAATTCATACAACTCAACCAAAAAAATAATAATAACCTGATTAAAAAATTGGCAGAGGATCTGAATAGACGTTTTCCAAGGAAGACATACAGACGGCCGCCAGGCATATGAAAAGATGTTCAACATCACTAATTATTAGAGAAATGCAAGTGAAAATCACAACAAGACATCACCTCACACCTGTTAGAATGGCTGTTATCAAAAAGACAAGAAATAAGTGCTGGCCAGGATGTGTAGAAAAGGGAACCCTCGTGCACTGCTAGAATGATTGTAAACTGGTGCAGCCACTATGGAAAACAGTATGGAGGTTCCTCAAAAAATCAGAATAGAACTACCATATGACCCAGCAATTCCTCTTTTGGGTATTTATCCGAAGAATATAAAAATACTAATTCGAAAAGATATATATACCCTTTCGTTCATAACAGCATTACTTAAAATAGCCAAGAGATGGAAACAACCTAAGTGTCTACTGATGGATGAATGGATAAAGAAGTGTGGTATGTATACACAGTGGAATATTACTCAGCCATAAAAAAAGATGAAATATTGCCATTTGTAACAACATAGAAGGATCTTGACGGTATCAAGCTAAGTGAAGTAAATCAGGCAGAAAGAGACAAAAACCATATAACTTCACTCATATGTGGAATATAAAACAAAAAAGTAATGAACAACAATACAAAAACGAACTCACATACAGCCGACACGATGGTGGTTACCAGAGGGGAAGAGGATTGAGGGGAGGTCGACACAGGTAAAGGGGTCAAATACATCTAAGGGAAGAAACCTACACTTTTAGTTGTAAGTGCACAATAGAGTATACGCAGATGACAAATAACATGGTAAACCTGATATTTATGTTATTAACCACTACTACCTCAATAAAAATAAATGTCATCATGGCTAAAGAACGGCCATTTATGTGCAATGTGAAAAATGGATAACTTATATCTCAAGTGTTAAGAATTTGTCAGGTGTTTTTTCCCTCCCAATATTCATAGGAAGGGATATTCTCATTCTTATGCTTCATGCAGGTTAATAAAATGAACAGTTTTGGCTGCCAAATTTGATAAAAATATATCCGGAAAAAACAGCATACCCCTCGACAATTTTTCCCCAGATTTACTGAAGTATAATTGACATACAACAAACTGCACATTGAATTTAAAGTATAAATTTGATGACCTGGATACATGTACACGCCATGAAGCCATCACCACAATCAAGATGGTGAACATACCATCACTGCCAAAAGTTTCCTTGTACTCCTTTGTAATCCTTTCCTGCCACCCCTGCCCCACGCCCCACCCCAGGCCATCCCTGATCTGTGCCTGTCACTATAGATTAGTTTTCATTTTCTAGCATTCTATATAAATGGAATCATAAAGTATTTACTTATTGTCTGACTTTTTCCTTCATCTGTGTGGGTGTGTGTGTCAATAGTTCAGTCCTTTTTATTACTGGGTAGTATTCTATTCTGTGGATATATCTCAGTTTATTCACCCCAATTTCTGATCAATAACTGAGCCTTATTCATCAAACCTGTGCCCTCCTATAACATGGAACTCCTGTCACTGGTAAAACTAATCAAGTCACACTTCTGAAGCCACAAAGCTGACGTGGAATGGATGGAATCACCACTGAGGGTGGGGTCTTCCCTGGGAGATCAGTTTCTGCAGCTTCCAGACACCATCTTCCAATCACACCAGCACGGAATGGGGAATTTGTCATTTTCACTCTAAAACAGCGTACAGCAAAGTGTCCTGATTAATGAGGATTAAACTAAAGACCCATTTCTTTTCTCTCACACCTCGACCCCCTTGTCATGTCAGACTCCTAAGGGAATGTGTGTTGCATCGGTGAAGACTGCCATCGACATTGGGTTCCGGCACTTTGATGGGGCCTACGTCTACCAGAACGAGCACGAGGTGGGGGAGGCCATCAGGGAGAAAATGGCAGAAGGAAAGGTGCGGAGAGAGGATATTTTCTACTGTGGAAAGGTGAGACCTTCCCTCCACCCCCCTAACCCCTTATATTAATGGTGGACTGATGTCACTTTTTCTCTGCCAAAGAATATTAGACTCACCAAGAGGTATGAATTCTCGACTGCCAAATTCCTTACTTTTGCCAAGGATTTAGGGACTAATGTGCCCCTTGAAGGTTAGGGCAAAGCTCCTTCTTTATATATGGGCATGGACTTAAAACAATACAGAAAGAACAAATTCTACAGTGCAAAAGTTTGGGGAATTGAGAGAAAGTGGGAGGTGGTTCATATTACATAAGCATTTGCCAAAGCTTCTTTAAAAGGGAAGCCTTCTTTTTTTGTGTCTGCCTATTTGTCCAAAGATCAATTTTTTATCGAGCTATAATTCATATAGTACAAAGTTCAACATTTTAAGTCAGTGCTTTTAGTATATTCACAAAGTTGTACAACCATAACCACTACCTAATCTCAGAATATTTCATCATTCCAAAAAGAAGCCCCATCTCCGCTAGCTGTCATTTCCTATTTCTCTCTCTCCCTGCCACTAGCAATCACTAATCTGCATTCCCTCTCAACAAGCTTTTCTGTTTGGGATGTTTGATACCAAAGGAATCATATAATATGTGACTTTCTGTGTCTAGCTTTTTTCACTTAGTACACTGTTTTCTGAGTTCATACATGTTGTAGCATGGATGAGAATTTCATTTCTTTTTATGGCCAATAACATTCCATTGTGTGGCTGTATCACATTTTGTTTAGATCACTACCTCTTGAGCAATTTAAATTTCCAGGGTTAGAAATCACTATCTACTGAAGAGCAATTGGAAAGATAAAGCATCATGGTTAAAATAACAGCCAGTGGAAATGTAGGGTGTGTATTTACATGCAGCTTTACAGGAATAAAGCTGTACAACTTTAGAGAGCTTGTAAGACAATTCTCCTGAGGGTTCTAAAGAGAGCAAGATGCTATTTCTGACTTCAGCCACTCTCCAGACCTCCTTTCCTCTCAGCTCCCCACTAATGCTCCTTTCTAAGCTCTCCAAGGCTTTGCAATTCCCCAAGTCACCAGCCACTTATGGGTTATGATATCAAGAAGCCATCAGGAGCCACTGTCCCTGAATATCAACCTGAAGCTTTTCACTTTATTATGACTTGACAATTTTGATTCCTAAAGCTTTTATTATTACACAGTCCCTCATTAGAGTAAAACACCAAACCTTAAATGAGTGTTCCCAAAATGTTTCTGGAGAAGAATAAACTGGAATTCATATCCTGAGGACCGACGCAAAAGCAGCCTGCCCAAAACCAGAAATATTATTGAAGACTTATGTCTTATCTTAAAAATTTTTAGAGTTTTGCATTTTTTCCATAATAATAATCTTATTTGTCCCATTTTGTTTCACATAAAAATGAGGTTTTAAATAAGCACCAAGACAAATTAACCAAAAAACTTTCCTTCTAATCTCCTTGGTAAAGAGTTAGAGCTGTTGAAATATTGAACCGAATTAAATCAACTACTTCATAAAGTTGTTAAGGGTTGACATTTACAAAACACTTAAACAGTATCTGTTACAAAGCCGGGGCTATCTGTGTTTGCTGAATAAAAATAATTAAAATATATAAAATAGAATGTTCGCTTTAATGAGATGGCACAATAACACCAAGGGGGCCCACAATAACAAGAAAATCACATTTTTCCACTACTCTCATATTTCTTGTTCAGGTGAAACACATTTTTCACCAGAGTGATGTGAAGACAAGTGCCAGGCCAGGGCAGCATAGCTATTCGGACGGGTTTCCTACTTACACGGTGGGGACAAGTTTAAGTGTGGAGAGTCGATTAGGAAGCCAGTGCCACGAAGAGGAAGACTCTGTGCCCGAATCGGGTCCTCTGTGGTTCAGAGGGATCTTTAAGTCTCAGGTACTATATTCTGATAAAGCTATACTCTGGATGGCAAGAGTTATATCAGCTTATGCTATACTCAGATTAAACGGCAGCATAAACATATTTTTGTGACATGAAATGAGTGAATAAAATGTGGATGAAGGCTTTTTAAAGAACTGCATTATTGTAAAAAAAAAAAAATAGTGTGGATGTTACTTAACTATCCTCCTTTTATTCTTTCAGCTGTGGACTACACATCATGACCCAGAGATGGTCCGTCCAAGCCTGGAGAGGACACTCAGGGTCCTCCAGCTAGATTATGTCGATCTTTACATCATTGAATTACCCATGGCTTTTAAGGTGAGTTTAGACACCTAAGGTCTGGCATCTGCTCTTCGGCACCCATGAGCCAGAAGCTATGCATATGAAGCTAGTTCCTTACTTAGCACCACAGAATGTTATAGTTTTGCTACCCTAGATCAGACAGCACTGACTTCGCCCAACAAAAGCCCAAGAAGATTATATGTAAGACTCTGGCCTGGGTCCCATGTTTCTTGATTCATAACCCAATGCACTTTTTCTTATATCATATCTTTACAACTATAGTTTAAACTCTCTATCAAGCCATCACATAGTCTCCAAACTGTAGTCCACATTTTAGTTGTCCAGCATGCAGAAACAACCTTCTTGCCACTCACACAGTCATGAAAATGTCCCTGCACAACACGATGCAAAATAATACATACGACTGGAAATTCACTCACCATCTGCCCAAAGGAAAATATCCCAAAGAATGGTCATGTTTGGGAAGTCAGCTCCAAGATCAGGGTGTCTATGTAATATCTATTCCTCTAGTCCAAATGCTCTTCTTCCTTGAACTTTCTCAATCTATGGACTCATGTTGATTCAACCCCCAACAGCACACCTCATATACACTTCTGAAGAGCAGCAACTGCTTTAAAATTTCCCTGAGGGAAGGAGAGATTGAAAATGAAACTGGTCACTTGTGCATGAGGCAAATCAGATCCTGCCGGTCAGGAAGAACAAGGACTCTGTCCTTGCAGCGGCCCGAATTCCTTTGTACAGCAAACATGGCTGCCCCTGTTCTGTTCTCCGGAAGCACTTTACTTGTTGACTCTACTCTCCTCTGTGGTCACATGCCAAGACCTTAGGGAGGATTCTCCCTTTGCATCCTACTTCATGTAGATATGGGTTTGTGGGCTTCACAATGGCCTTGGTAATCAAAGGCTCTTATTGGTCAGGTTGGGATTTCCTAGACAAGAAAGACAATATCCTTTCAAAGTTTGCTAGGCTTTCAGTAAATGCACATTCTGTCAGCTCCATGAGAAAGTCATCAAAACTGGAAGTCTTATAGGGTTACAATTCTTGTTTCTAATCTTTGGCCTATGTTTTCTGCATCTCAGGAAAGTATCTCCTTGTTCTGATCATTTGCTCAGTCTTCAGCTTAACAGCCTCAATTTGGCTTGAAATAATACAAAACAGGGAGGCACAGATAATGTGTTCCTTGCACCCAGTCTGCATCTCATTGGATGGTGCACCTCTGTCAGGTAGGGCATCCGTGGCCTGAGATCTTGCCTTCAGAGAGATACTGACAATCAGAATTCTCCCAAAATCCAATTTGATTTCTGTCTAGGATGCTCCCCTTCTTGTATTGGCCAGCACTGACTTTTCTAACTTCAGAAGGCTCAGATATAAACTTCTGCCACTTTGGATCATCCAGAAGAAGAAAGTACCTATTTTAGCAAAATATCATCTTACCTCTTATCTTACAATCCCAGTAACAATAAACACATTTATCTTTCTTCAAGACCTCACTGAAGACTGCAAAAATGGCTAAGAAACTCTAACACCCAATGTAATGTTTTTCTACGAAGTCCCCTCAAACTCCAACCTTAGTAGACACATTGTCTGAGTCTCAAGACACAACAAAGCAATAATTTAACCTGATGCCATGCTATTGCATAGCAAGAATAGCCAATTCTCGGCTGGACATGGGAAAATTCTCATTGTCCTCAACCCATACTGACCTAGCCAATTCCACATTTTTTTGTCCACTACTCGTTATGTATACCCAAATACCTTCGTATTAGTCACAACTCTTGTTATAAATTGCAAAAATACGCAAATTGTTGTGAGCAAAAAAAGGAACTTAGAATTCCAAGAGATAATTAAATCAGGTACAGTTGGATCCAGAAGTTCAAACTATGTACCTGTACTCTGGCCCTTTTCTATCTCCATGATTTCTTTACACATCACCTAAACATGGCACTTGACGTGCCAAGTCCACGTTATCAATACAACTTAAGAATTCAGAGAAAGAGAGAACACACATTAACAATTATAGAGAAAGACTGATTAGCCTTGCCTGGGTCATATCCCCATACTGACTAATCTTTGGTGCGAGGGCATGGGTGACTGATGACATCTGTGGCCAAGAGTGACATCTGGGTCAGACCACACACACACAAAAAAGAATGAGCTCCTCTATAGAAAAACAGCATAAGGATGGTAGAAAATGAAACAACAGATTCCCACTGTACTCACTAATCAGAGGTCACTTAGCATGGTAGTAAGGAACATGGGCTCTAGAGCCAGACTGCCTCATTTGAATCCCATCTCTGTCATTTAAGAGCCAGATGATGTGGTCACGTTATTACTTGATCTCTTTACACATCACCTAAACATGGCACAGTGGAAGGAAGGAGTATGGGCTTTGGAGTCACACAGAAGGGGGACAACTCTCAGCTTTATTACTTACTAGCACAGTCACTTTGATCTTTTTGAACTCCAATTCCATTATCAGTAAAATGGAACAATAACTAACTTGCCAAGTGTTGTGAGGAGTCAAAATGATATATGCGAAATTACACAAACAATGCCCACCATCTCCTAGATAAAAAAGGAAAGATAATAAAATATTCAAGTGAAAAGAACCTTAGTAATTATATCTCCCAATAGATAGAACACCTTCATTTCACAGAAGATAGAGTTGAGGCCCCAGGCAATGAAGTAGCTAACTCAGGTTTAAAGTCCATCAGAACTAGGGCCAGATTCGGGGTCCCCTGATGTCAAACTTATACGTGTTCCCCTATACTGCACTGACCCTTCTGCCTTATCCTCATAAGCCGAATAACCCCTATATGCTGTAAACAAACAGTGATTTTTTTTTTATTATTTCAGGATCTTGGCAGGTATGATCTAAACCCTCCTGTTCCCTCTACTAACTATGACTCTTGTTCAAATGGCAAATTTCTAAGCTGAGTCTTAAAGATTTGAAAAGAACCTGTATTTAAAAATGAGAAAAAGAGTTTACTTCACTGGGCCTGACTAATGACTTGTTTTTGGAGAAGGTAAATAGAGAATTTATGTTCCCATTCTTAGATGGGATAAAGGTTCAAGGACATAGAGAAGGTAAAACTTTTAACAGTGAGAAATGACAAAATAATGATATTACCTGCCAACTGGACCTGTAATTTCAGTAATTGAGAAATCAATCATTGAAACTAAAATATCACATGCCTTTTGAATCTCATGATTTCTTTAAACAAAAAACCTTTCTTGCTAAAATATTTTAGCACTTTATTTTTCAAATGTCAAGTTAACAGGCGAGCAACCAGAATAACAAAACATAAAACACAAAAAGTCACGATAAGACATTTCTAAAAGATGAATGAAATTACTACTATGAAAGTCAATAGCATGAGTCTTTAGAGAGTTGAATTGTTCTTCTAATAATGCCTTGTAGTAGGAGCAGAAGTAGAGAAAAAAAGACGACGGGCTTATCCAGATGAGGGATTAGTAAAGCAGTCAGAGTGGAAGCTTAAGGGGCACATCATAGGCTCAGGTTTCATAAGGACAATTAAAATCTGGGAAAGTAAAAATTATTTAACAGAGTTCATGACAGAAGAAATATGGAGGAAGACCGGAGTGGGAATGTGGGTCACAAGTGTTGAGAAGGTCAAAGAACTTTGAAATCAGAGACAGGAAGGATAATTAACATGAATGACACGTGGCATGAGGAGAAAAGCGCCCTTCTCCTGCTCTCGGTGAGACCAGAGGAAATTGAGACAAAATTGTCTTTGCTAAAAGAAAGTGTTATCACCATGGGAAAGTTTCATTGAGGTGAGATGGGGCAAGGAAAACTTAGGAGGAAAATTTTAAGAACATAATGAATTTTATCCATTGCTTGATTTTCAATAAAAAATTCCCATTATCAAAGTCTACGAAGACTTCCATGCTGCCAACCAAATCCAACAGACACTTTGTCTTCACATGATTTCCACACAGTTGACCACAATCTCCTTTAAACATTTTCTCCTTGTGGCTTCTATATCACCCTCTCGAGATTCTTTGGCAGCTTCTTCTCTGCCATCTTCCAAATGTTGTTATGCCCAATACTCTATTCTCGATATTCTTGTCTTACTGAGCCATACTCTCTCTATAGGTGATCTCATGCAGTTGTATGGACTGAATATTATTTTATATGCTGAGGACTCCTAAATTTTGTCTGCAGCCATGGCCTCTTTCTGAGCCTCTTCCTGAGACTTCTGTTTGTCTCCTCAAATAAATATCTACTTGAATGATTAATGATCATTTCATACTCAAAATATCCAAAATAAAACTCTTGATTCCTAACCCAACCTCAGGAAATGATTACCATCATCCACCCAAGGAACCTAGGAATCATCTTTTTATTTCTCTCTATCCCATTTCCAAGACCATAAGAAATGGGTCCCATTTTTAGATATAGCCAAAAAGGAGAAATCTGAAGGACAACATTCCACACCACAGTTAGGGGGTCTTTGTTAGGAAAGGAGCGCCCAAAAATTATAGAAGGAAATTTGACACTCAGATGATGTGTGAGTTAGGAAAAAGGATGCTGGAACTCCTGAAGGGCCCAAAAATGGAAGGAAAAGAACCACTGGGCAAATTAGCCAGAATGAAGAAGTAACATGCTATGCTATCCTCAACTCCGGCAAGCATAAACTGTCAAAACAATGAGTCTAAAAATCCTAATTCTCAACCTCAATTCTTTTTCTAATGAGTAATGCTGTCATTAAGAGAGAAGTTTATGGCTGACGAACAATAATCTGTTCTTCAGATTATTTTATATATTTTATATGTTTCCCAATAAATAAAAGGAAAATAAAGACCAGGGAGAGATAACAAGATTAACATGTCACATATGTTGGACAAGTGAAGAAAATTTTGGACAGTCCCACAAAAAAGAAAACATGAATATATATGTAATGTATTATATATTATATAAACATAAATAACTTGAATTGCTTTCCCAGGGCCAAGGTATATTAGTATAATGACAACTCAAATTCCATAATTTTAATTCCCAGACATAAATAAAATTAATTACACTTGTTATTTATTTTTCAGCCTGGAGATGAACCCTATCCTAAAGATGAGAATGGCAAATACCTATATCACAAGACAAATCTGTGTGCTACTTGGGAGGTAATTTTAAGGAGGACTCTTATTTTATTTTATTTTATTATTTTTTTATTATTATTTTTTACACCTACAGCACCTGATATTCCTAGGTGGTCTCCCATCCAAGCCCTAACCAGGCCCGACCCTGCTTAGCTTCTGAGATCAGACGAGATAGGACAAGTTCAGGGAGGCATGGCCGCAGAAGGCCTCTTATTTTAAAAGTCTATCATTTTAAACTGTGATCTGATTATTCCTATTCAATTTATGAGGAGATGCAGCCTTAACTCTTCCATTCCA